ACTACTACTACTACTACTAGACGACGACGTCGGACGACTGCGAGTACTGCGACTGCTGCGGCGACGACGACGAGGAATAGTCATCATAGCCAAAGACTTGATAGCACACATCATGGTCATTATCATCATCATCATCATATGATTATAAGCATAATCGATATGGTTGTCAGCATAAGCCAAAATCTTAATATGGCAACAAACATCATTCAGTCCTGGGCTGCAGCCAAGCAACCGGTTGGATCTGATTCGCCAGGTGACACTGCGAGGGTGGCGCACGACGTATGTGATCCCCCCACAGAGCCTCAGGCATGTGGGGTTTGACTCGGCTTGATAGCGGGAGCATCGGGTGCTTAGAGGATAGTAAGGGAGGCTATGTGACTTCCTGTAGTGTAATTAGGGTTGAGGAGTTTGAGACATTGCAAATTGGGACACAGCAACCCAGAAAGATAGAGTAAGAAGAAAAAACAACCAAACGATAGCCAAGTAGCAGTGATCCATTCGAAGACATCTGTCGTGTGCACTTTTGTGTAGTTGATCCTTGCGGCAAGGTGGGACCAGATTCCCGTCTTTGGAGCGGAGTTCGATTCCTCCCCCGTGCCATACGTCCCATGGATTTCGGAGCATCATGGCTCCTGTACTCGTTTCTAGGGAAAAGCACGGGCCGACACCGAACAGCCGAAAAGCACAGACAGCAAAACAGGAGACAACAAATAAGGCAAGAGAGCGGGCCGCTGCCTGCGAATCTATGATTATATCTGTGTATACCCCTAAACCCTAAACCTTAAACTGTGTAGCCAAACATATTAGTACAGGTTTGTAAACGGGTCTTCAAGGCCCTCAGGCCTCTGGTCGTACCTCAGGGACGCTGAGGGGGTGTTGTCAACAGCAGATGCAGTCTGTTTAGAGTTTGGGGTTTAGGCTTTAGGGTTTAGGGTTTAGGATTTAGGGTTTAGGATTTAGGGTTCTGGGTTTAGGGTTTAGGATTCAGGGTTTCGGATTTAGGGTTTAGGATTTAGGGTTCTGGGTTTAAGGTTTAGGGTTTAGGATGTAGGGTTTTGGATTTAGGGTTTAGGATTTAGGGCTCTGGGTTCAGGGTTTAGGGTTTAGGATGTAGGGTTTTGGATTTAGGGTTTAGGATTTAGGGTTCTGGATTTAGGGTTTTGGGTTTAGGGGAGATTAGTACTGAAGCTCGACTGCTCATAGTGCTCGGCTTGGTATTGTGGCATGGTCTTCTGGAAACGATGGTTGTTACCTGTTGTTTGCCATATCGATTTCACGGAGTTCCCTCAGAAGTGCTACAATGATACTTTTGGAGGCCCTTGCAACAAAGGCCCTTGGACCCTTCGGGCGGAAGCTGCTTCTTCCAAGCGTCCCGGCCAAATCCAGCTTGCACGCCCGATTCGTCATGCAGTTGGTATGGTGCATGTGATAGGTCATGTTCAAGTTGGTGATCGTCAAGAACTCTGGGACAGGCTGCCTCAGGGTTTGCCAGAAGCCACGGACAGCCTAGTAACCGACATCGTCCTCAATTTGCTTCTGGTAGAGCACACCCCGAAACCCTACATTAGGTATTGATAACCCCTTGAAAGGCAGGGGGCTTTTTCGCCAGGGGTCTACATTACACCGGTGGTTCAGAATGCATAACAATGGCACATTTCTGCAGCTGCAGTGACTGGAAACCAAAGTCGACACCCGTTGCTCAGCCCACTGACATATGAACAGCCCTGCACCTCAGGAGCCTATACGAATCTGCAATTCGCAACCTTGCAGCGCAGGGGGCCCTTTCATCAGTTTCTCCTTGTCCTTGACAGCGGTTTCCCTGTCGACTTGCTCCATGAAATAGCAGTGCATGTGTTCCTTCACGGCAGATTCAGCTCTGAGCAGGAACAATGACCGTAGCTTTGCATTGTGGGCACAGTGCTTAGACTTTGGGCCACTCACGACTTGAACCCGCTTTGAACATCTTTTCACTTGAGTGCGTAAAGTGGGCCCCCGGGAATATGTGAATATGGGGCTTAGGGATATGAGCAGTGGGACTTCCGTCAAGGCCAAAGCCGTCCCCTTCCTTTCCAACGGAACAACCACCACTAAGTACATCAGGGTTCAGGGTTTACCTTGGCGACTTCCTTGAAGATGATGGGGAAAGCTCTAGATCTAAAGTTCTGCACTGACTCTTAGGTTACTAGGATGACCTAAGGCAAACCCCCAAACCCGCAAGCCATGTACCTTCTCGTTCTCGGTCAGCTCGTCTTGGAGCCAGTTGCCGCTGTAAACATGCTCCTGGAGAACAATCCTGAGCTGCGCGATCCTACTTCTCAGCTACCCCTGACAGCAGTGAACTAGTACTCCAACGGATTGTGGGACGGATGGCGATGGTCAAGGCTTAAGGACGATGGCAGATGTTCTCTTAATGTCACACTCACTTCTCTTTCGACTGAATGTGGCGAGAGCAGAGGGAAGCTATGGAACTGAAACCTGAAACGAACCCCTTCACTGTGCGCGGCCTGTCGGCAACAAGGTCACGATGACGACGACGACATTGTGGACGGTGACCAGGAGGGGGCATGAACACGAGGATGATGACGATAGTGATGATGAGGACGACGAAAGTGGCATCATGTGATAGCAGTCTGAGGACGAAGGGGACAAGGGAATGAGACGCCTATACATGATGACGAAACTGAGGAGCAGGATGATGGTGATGATGATGATGATGACCAGCATGTGCATGCTCTTGACGTGGATGTTGACGATAGTTGAAGCTTATGTTTGAGATGGTGAGGACGGAGGATGCAGGCTGCTTTGGTTGTAAAAATGGTGGCTAAGATGAGAGGGGCGATCAGGAGTACCAGGTGAATGAGAACTTGCGAGGTGAGGATTCTCGCATGCCAAATTCTCGGCAGCCGTTGTCTTAGCGGTGCGACTCGTTTTGAAGATGGCGCAGTCCTCACAAACAGACGGGCGACCACATTGAATAGGCCTTTGCTATGTCCTGCTGCAAACACATGACAATGAGCAACAAACCATGCACATGTCAGCTTCTTCCAAAAGTGCAACAAGTTGCTCAAGACTTTCTAGGACCATCCCAGGAATCGAAGCCTTTGATGTAATGATCCACCACCGATGCACAGAACTCTACAGATGCTAGGAACCCTGGCCAAGGGTCTGTGACACGAAGAGGAAGCCTCCCAGCACAAAAAGGCCCAAAGGGCGCAGAATGAAGCCCATGGCCTCGGCTAGGGGTTTATGGTTTAGGGTTAAGGGCAGTGCTCTAGCAGCAGCAGCAGCAGTAGCAGTAGCAGTAGCAGTAGCAGTAGCAGTAGCAGTAGCAGTAGCAGTAGCAGTAGCAGTAGCAGTAGCAGTAGCAGTAGCAGTAGCATCAGCAGCAGGAGCAGGAGCGGTAGCTGTAGGACGAGGAGGACGACGACTACTGCTACTGACACTAGTTGCTATAGTGGCGGCCGTTTTGTTGTTACAGTCGCTGTCGCAGATGTTATTGTCCTTTTGGATCTATCAGCAGGAGTGACAACACCTGGGCCAGTCGAAGCATCGCACATTGCCGAAGCAAAGTCCTGCAAATCATTACTGGCCCCGTCAACACAGCTGTGATCCTAACGATGTATGAAAGAAAACTGAAGCGTGCATTGCCGTGAACCTAGCGCCGCTTCCAATGACAGGCATAGCTGCCATGACAGTAGGAGCCTCTGCAAAAGTAAAGAAGCTTAACAGAAATCTGAGCCAAGGGACTTGCCATGCCTTGATGTTGATGCGAACCGGCCCACGTTGAACATCCAGACCCCAGAAGTTGGAGACCCAATCATCTGCATGATCCGCCTTCGACAACCCGCGAATACGGCAATCAGTCTTGAGCAGAACACAAGACTCGACTAAAGTGCAGAATGTCTGCAGTGGCTTGTTGTTGGTGGTTTCGGCTTCTTGTCTGATCGGCTAGGATCCTATGCAGGGTCACTGCTAGTATGACCAAGCAAGTTGTGACGTGATTTGCGACATAGGCCGTCACTTGCAGGCAGAGAAGCACTTAAAGACCCTCATGTGACTTGTTGAGAAGCTAATATCTTGCTTACAGAGGAAGGCTGCTTACGTTCATGTGCGACATGAAGAAGTGCGATGCAAAAAGAAGCAAGTATCGACATCGACTACTGGAACCACTGGTACTACATGTGCTAGTGGGTGGCAACAGTGCTAGTCGTGATAAAGATGAGGAAAGCAGTAATAGCAGTGGTGGGAGTAGCAGTACAGTAGCAGCAGCAGC